TGCTCATTCTCAAATAACATTTGTCCTCGAACTTCTTCTTTTGTGATCGGGCCAGTGTTCAGGGAGGGTCTGCATTTTTACCAGGCCTGCAGGATCTCATTCCAAAAGCGTGATTTTGGACGTTTACGCGCGTACATGTCAGACATCAGGGTCACCCAAACATCCGAAGGCCTGGACAAATTCCACTCGTTTGCTAGCAGCGCTTCGGCCATCAAGATCCAATCAGCATGCTCCTCAACTGATCCCACACGAATCACCCACCTCGCTAGGAGAGTCGTGTTCTGAGCTTCTGGGTCGATTAAGGACAGACCGCCTTCCTCCCTTGGGGTGCAGATGGTCTCCCATGCCACCTTGGGGATAAACCCTTGATCTGGATCACTTCCTGGCTTCCACACGAACCTTTTTGCCACTTTCTTCACAGAGGTAAGAGTACTAGGAGTGATTTTCCTTACTGCTGCCACATACCACAGCAGAGCGAAGGCTGAAGCTGTCACTGCCAGTGCCCTCTCAATAATAGACAAGTGTTGGGCTTTCCCCCAGCTCTTAATCCTTTTGATCACTTTTTCTTGTAGGATTATCCCCTAAGAAGAAGTGCAATCTCCCAATGCCACCTGCACTCCCCGGAAACGTTCAGCCGCATCTGCTTCCACCCGAGCCATCCCCAATCGTACCACCATAGGACGGGACGTGGGGAGAAAGAACACAGACTTATTCCAGTTTACTGCCACTTGGGACAGTTCAGCAAAGTCCATCAGACATTGTTTCAGAGCTTCTAGCGAGTGAACTTCATTCGCTGAAATGGCAAAAAGGTCATCTGCGAGGGCCTTGACTCGTTTTTCTTTCCCCCCTGGCAGGCACAGTCCCACAATCTCCGGGTGCTTCCGAATATTGCAGAGGAGCGGTTCTGCATGTAGCACGAACAGCAGTGGGGCCAGCGGGCAGCCTTGGCGCAATGATCGGCTGAGACGAAATTCCTTATAGATCTTCCCATTGACACAGACTGCTGCACATGAGAAGGTGTACAAAGTGATTACCCACTGGCATAATACATCGCCGAAGCCCAGCCAACGCAGGGTAGTCAGGACAAAAGTCCAATTCACCCTGTCGTAGGCCTTTTCCAGGTCCAGCAATAAAACTGCAGTGTTACAATTATCCCTCTCAATTAGTTCCATGGCCTCAATAGCGGTCACCACGTTCTCGAAAATCGATCGCCCGCGTACGAAAGCGCCTTGGTCTCGGTGTACAATGCCTGGCAGGTAATTTGCCAGCCTGTTGGCTAAAGTTTTAGCCAAGATCTTGTAAACCACGTTAAGTAGAGAAATCGGCCTCCAGTTTCGAACCTCATTTCGCTCTCCCTTCTTGAAGAGCAGCGAGATTATTCCTCTCGTCATCGACTTCCCCAGCCTGCCTCCTGTCTGAATAGCGTTGTACATCTCCACTAGGTCCCCTCTCAGGCCCTCTCCACAAAGTTCAAAGAACTCCACAGGTAAACCATCATCCTGTGGCGCCTTTCCCCGTGTCATACAACTCTGAGTGGTGATCAGTTCATCTTCTGTAACAATTTTGTCTAACCTGATCTTTGCTTCCTCTGAGACGCGGATTGTCATATTGTTCCACAGGGCCGACCCTTCCGCCATATTGTCTTCTGCGTTGTCGTACGGTCGTCTTGTCGTCATGATGTCCTGAAAATAATCTTTCGCGTAGGTGCACATCTCGTTATTAGTAGTCGCCACAGGCCTCCCTAATTGATGCGGGTGTCTCAGCTCCTTCATTTGCACTGATCTGTTCTTGAGCAACAGCCTACTGAAGGTCTCCTTTGTCACTCGGTCCGAGGTAATGATGCCCTTAGTTTCAAGGATTTAGAGCCACCTTTCCTGCTTCCGGATCTGCCACTTATCCCATTCCTGAAGCCTGTCTTTCTGCTCTTCACCCCAGAATAGGTTTGAGATAGGATGCCGTCCCATCATTAGCTCCGCCTCCTCAACTCTGGCTTTGAGCTTTGCTTCCTCCTTATTGCGCTGGAAGGCTGTAATTTGTGAAAAAAAGTCCAGCTTCAACGAGATCACTCTCAAGCCTGCGTCGATCCACTCCGCTACCGACTCGCTGTGTGGTTTAATCTGCTGCCATTCCTGCCAGAAATTCGTAATCCACCTTAGTACTCCTTCATCGTTCAAGAGGTCGGTATTTAGCCGAAAATAGACAGGGCCTCTTTCTGCAACCTCAGAATGAGCGCATGTCATCACTATCGCCTTGTGGTCAGAGATAGGGTAGTTATCAAACTTCACCTGAATTACATTGCTTTTCAAGTCCTCTGAGACCAGAAAGAAATCAATTCGTCGACTAACACCTGCATGCTGTGGAGAACGACCAATCCAAGTAAAGGCCTGCTCCGTAGGATACAATTCTCAGTAAGCATCATGCAACTCCCACTCTCCGATCCATCTCAGTAGTTTTGTCTGGTCTGATGTCATGCCCCCGTCGTGGTGTGAGTCCAGCCCCGGTTGGCATACCGCATTCCAATCACCCGCTATCACCATGTGTTTGGCCCGAGGTAGGACAAACGGCAGCATCTCAAAGAAACGCAATCTCTCTCCAGGCTTATTCGGAGCATACACTGTTGCCAAGACCCAATCTTCAGCATCGATCGCCACCTTGATCCAACACCATCGTCCCCACATATCACAGTCGTAGTCCAACAGTTGGGCGTCTATTCTGTTGTGAATCTGAATAGCCACCCCCCCTTTTGTTTCTCTGGCCGGGGACCACAACTGTGGTCTATCCCACCAATCCTTCAACTGAGCCAGTTTATTCTCGATAGTTTTGCCTCTTGAATCATGATGATGTCGATGCTCTTCCTATGAATCCAGCTTTTGAGTCTTGCCCCCTATGTTGCACGCCCGGCCACGGCCGGGGGGTCCGAGTAGGCCGCGGCCTAGGCCGATGACCGCATCGGCCCGGTTCGGCCTAGGCCGACCTGCCGAGTTTGGTGCATTATTTTTTTCCCCCATTTTTTACGTGTAAATATATATATATATATATATATATATGGGCGTGTAGGGCTTGCCAAACCCTACACGCC